CTTTTCTAATTTTTCAAGTCAGAGTTTCTCTTTGTAACAGCCCTGACTGTCCTAGAACTCACTCTATAGACCAGGCTGGCCTCTGCCTTCCAAGTACATGTATATTTACAAAACAAGCCTCTATTCTGATTAGCTTGCAAATTGAAAACATCACATAGCTAAAGAGGCCTCTCAGCCCCTTGCAAAGATCACAGCTCTCTCCATCTCAGTGAACTTCTGTCGACATAAAATGGCCATTCTGAAGCAGTAGAGCTTTTTGCTTAGCCTTTTACACTGTCAGTTACATTTTTAAAATTTATTTAACCAGGTGATAGTGGTGCACACTTTTAATCCCAACACTCAAGAGGCAGAGGCAGGTGTGTCTATAAGAGTTCAAGGCCATCCTGGTCTTCAAAGTGAGTTCCAGGACAGCTAGGGCTGTTACACAGAGAAACCCTGTCTCGAAAAACAAAACAAACTATTTATCCATCACAAAGAAAACAGTTGAAACTAGAAAAACATTAGCTTTCTATCGTCTTTTATGACTCTTGTGTCCTCTTATTTGCATTCCTAGTGTTTTCCTTTCTTGGTCTCCTTTCTAAACTTTAGAATACACCCATACTTAACCCTGTTTACATATATATGTTATAGGTAAAGATCCATACATGAGGGAGAACATTTAGCTCTTTTCTTTCTGAGTTTACCTCACTTAATATTATACTTTCCAAGTCCATTTTGCTGAAAATTTTATGATTTCATTTTTCTTTACAGATGAGTAATATTCCATTTTGTATATGCACTATGATTTCATTATCAGCTCATTTGTTGATGGACATCAGTGTTGGTTCTATCCCTTTGCTGTCGTGAGTAGAGCAGCAGTAATCATGTATGCAAACATCCATGTCTGGTAGGATGTGGCATTTTCTAGGTATGTGCTAGGAATAGGATAGCTGGGTCATATAGTAGTTCTGTTGTTAATTCTTTGAAGAACTTCAAACTGGTTTCCATAATGGCTGTGTCCTTTTGTGCTCCTTCCTGTAGTGGATGAGGTTCCTCTTTCCCCCAAATCCTCTCCAACATTTGTCATCAGACCTTTCTGGCTGGGTGAGATATTACCTCAAAGTAGTCACATTTACCAGATGACTACAGATGTTGAATATTTTCTAAAATAGTTATTGGCCATTCATATTTCTTCTTCTGAGAATTGTTTGCTAACACATTTCATTAGCCCTTTTGTTAATTGACAGTTTTATTTTCTTGGTGTTTAACTTCTATAGTCCTTTGTATATTCTGGATATTAGTCCCCAGGAAAAGATTTTCTTTCATTCTGTGTGCTGTGTTCTCTGAGGATAGCTTTTCTGCTGTGCAGAAAGCTTTTACTCTCACAAAGTCCTACCTGTTGGTATTGAGACTAAGTCCTGTGCTACTGAGGGTCTGTTCAGAGAGCTCTCTGTCCCTGGTGTTTGGAAGAGGATTCCCTGTGTTTCCCTCTAACTGGTTGAGGTTTCAAATTAAGGTATTTATTCCATTTCTGATTGATTTTTTTTTTACACAACGAGAAAGATACTGGATCTACTTCTGTTCTTCTGCAGGTTCTACCCGCGCCTTTTGTTACAGGAATAGCCTATCTTTTTCTGCTACATGTTTTTGGCTGCCTTTGTCAAAGATTAGGTGTCCGCAGCTTTGTCGGTTTATTTCCATTTGTCTGTTTTTGTCATCACCAGGCTTCCTTTGTCAGTGCGGCTTCTGTAGTACAATACGGGGTTTGGCGGTACCGCCAGCTTTTTTCCTACACTTGGGGATTGCTTTGGCTACCTGTGGTCTTGGTTCCATGTGAATTCTCAAGAGGTTTTTTTTCATAGATCTGTGAAATGGCATCTGAATTTTGATAGGTATTGTGTTAAATCTGTAGGTTTGTTTTGGTAGTAACACCATTTTCACAATTCTGGAAATCCAGGAGCATGGACAGCCCTTTTTTTTAATCTAATATCTTCATTGATTTCCTTTTTCCGTGACTTGAGGTTTTCTGGTAGAAGTTTCATGCCTTTGGTTAGGTTTATGTTTAGCTACTTTCAGCAGAGAAAAGAACTCAATATAAATGTGATACTTTCCCTAATTTCTTTCTCTGAGAGTTCTTTTTTGGTGTTTGTATATACATATAAAGGTTACTGGTTTCTTATATTGATTGTGTATCCTGCAACTATATTGTTTTTATTAGAACTAAAAGTTTTCTAGTATATCGGGTGGTGGTGGTGCACACCTTTAATCCCAGGTAGAGGCAGGCAGATCTCTGAGTTCAAGGTCTACAGAGCATCTAGGACAACCAGGACTACACAGAAAAACTCTGTGATGGAAAACCGAGACACACACACAGAGAGAGAAAGAGAGAGAGAGAGAGACAGAGAGACAGAGAGACAGAGAGAGACAGAGACAGAGAGAGACAGAGACAGAGTCACAGAGAGAGACAGAGAGAGAGACATTACATTGCATATGATCTTTTAAGTACAGACAGAATTATATAGTCTGTAACTGATAGTTTGATGTCTACTTTTATTCCTTTTATGTCTTCCTCTGGTATAATTGCTATAGCTAAGACTTCAAGCTCTGTGTCTCAACTAGCTGCTCTATGGCATGTATGTCATTAGCACGTCATCACTACTGTAGCTAAGACTTAAAGCACTGTATTTCAGCCAGGTGCTCTGTGGTGTGCATGTAGTTAACATATCCTCACTCATACAAAGCCATCTGGATTCACCGAGTGATAGGTTCTGAATCAGAACATCGCTGACTTTGATTTCAGATGTAGGAAGTTATAAATAAAAACTGTTCTTCTCACTGTCTTAGTTTTTCTATCATTTTAACTAAAGACCTTAGCAAAGCAACTTTGTTCTTTTAGAGGGAAAATTTAGGGCTGGATGTTGTAGCACACACATTTAGTTTCTGCACTTGTGAAACAGAGGCAGACACAGGAGGATCTCTATGAGTTTAGTGCCAGCCAAGGCTATACAGTAAGACCAGTTGTTTAAAAGTTTATATTTGATCGCTGCCTGGGATGTGTCAGTACATGGCAAACCAGCTCCTTTACTTTTTGGGTAAGGTCAATCAGAACACCATGATGAGAGCATGTTGTGTAGCAAAGCTGTTTGTCACTGCTAGCGCAGACGGGGCTAGAAATGAGGTTGTCTCCCCAGGCCACACTTCAGTAACTTGCTTGTAACTACCACTACCCACCACTCCACACTCCAGGGCCACCATGTTATGGATTCACCTAGGGATTAAGTCACAGTCACTCTGACGGATTACCAGCTGCAAAACAGGACATCTGCCCACGGACTTTTGAGCTCTTCACGGTCAAGCCATCACAACCAAAATAAACAATAAACCATAACTGGCTAATCTCTGCCATACTGTCTATCCCATATATCAAACTAGATGTGTCTACTGAGCACCTGAAATATGGCTAAAGTTTTATAATTGCCACATGTGGCTAGTGGCTATGGCATTGGTTGCAGTGCAGCAATAAAGACCGACTGTGAGTCTGTGTTTAGTATGGAGATGATACTTCAATAATAGAAGTGGACAGGAAAAACTCCCCAAGGCTTGCCTGCAAGCTAGGAGAGACTGAGGGAAGGCAACAGAGCTACAGCTCTCCCCAGGTCACTCTCCCCCTTACTGGGTAGAAGGTGGACAAGGTAAGTGCAGATCAAATTGGCTCCAAGGTACAAAAAGCCAGAAGTGGGAGTGAAAACAGCTGTCGGCTATCTAGAGAGCTTGTAGTCAGGCTATATTGGGGGAGAGGGAAGTCTCTCACAGTTCTCAGAAAAGTAGGCAGCTCCTCCAAAATCTCAGGGTCCAACTCTTAGACCTTGATAGGAAACTCCTGATGTGTTCTCAAAACCGTCAGCACTCATGAGGCGGATGGCAGGTAGTTGAAGGCCTCCCTGGTCTGTATAGTGAGTTCCAGGATAGCCAGGGTTACAAAGAGAGACCCTGTCTCAAACAAAGCAAAATAAGTCAATAATAATAATAATAATAATAATAATACAAATAAATCTTTAATTATGCTCAAAATAACCAAAGACTCTTACAGAAACGTATACACCAGCATATATGAGGTAAAGGGATGGGGAGCTTTTAGCAGAGATATGAAATAACTTTGTTTTAATTTTTAATTTTTTTTTTGAGACAGGATCTCAGATAGGTTAGATTAACCTTGAACTTGTGATCCTCCTGCTTCTACTTCACAGCTTGTTAGTGTGCTTGCTTCAGAAGAACAGTTATCAAGTTTTAGAATATAGAGAAATTTCCTTAAAATTAGAACTCGAATTTCTGGAATAATTGTCTCTGCTATTCTTAAGTGACTGTAACAGTTTGTAGTTTAACAATAAGAAATTGGATCCTGTTTTTATTTTTAAGTTTTATAGATTTTCTAGGGTTTTCAGTGCATGCATGTATGTGTTGCACACATGTGCGTGCTGTGCACATGTGTATGCATGTGTGTATGCACGCAGGTGGTTGATTGGTTTGGATTTTGTTTTGTTTTCCCATGCCAGTCTAGTCTAGAGCCTATGCCCATGCTGACTTCTGGTCCTCCTCCCATAGTTTCCCAAGTGCTCTGAATACTCAACTAGCTTCACTTAAATATTGGCTCAGAATTGCTCCTTGAAAGAACTGAGTGTCATACACTCAGGAGTCGGAGATGAAGGGATTATGGGGTCCAGGTCAGTCTAGGCCACATAGAAAGTTCTAGGCCAATCTCAGCCACATGGTGAAATTCTGTCTCAGAATAAAACAACAAACAAACAAACAAACAAAGCCGTTTTTATTTTCAGAGATGGGGAGTTTCTCAGTAATTCTTCCTTTCTGGGGTATATATTGCTGTTGATGTTAGTTGTGACCTGACTGTCCATTTCAGTCACACATGTTACCTAATGCTTGACGAGCAAAGGTAAGGAATTAATAGAAATGAGTAAGAGCAGTAGAAGTGAATAATAAAATGTGTGTGTGTATTTTTTTTTCAGGGAAAATTTTTATCCCCAAACAGAAACCTGCACAGACTTTTACAGAAGATAACATATCCCTTGACCCAGAGTTAGAAGAAGCTTTGACAAGTGCCTCTGATACGGAGCTGTGTGACCTTGCAGGTCAGGTATCTCCTCAAATGAGCAGAGTTTAAGTGAGGGCAGTGTGGGGAGAGCCATGCAGGGTGCACCTGTGTGTATTATACAAACACTTCGTACTTTACACAGTAAATTTGACGGTAGGATTCTTTTATGTACTCTCTGTGGTAGAATTTTATGTTGGTAAAATTTATTTGATAATTTTTCCTATGTTGGGATTTGATAATATTTCCTATGTTGCCTCCTGACAACAAAAACCATGTCACCAGCTGGTGAACCTGTCGTGTCTGAACACTAGAAACAGACTTCATGGTCGACTTCTGCTCTCTTTGTTTCATGGAGAGGGAATAGAAATCAAAAGCTGTATTCATGTCCCCAACTTGTCAGAGTGACATGTGGGAAGACCCACCTACCAGAGAACTCTAAGAACTGATATGTTTGAAAGTGGAGTGAAGGCTCTTGGGAAGGACCCCAGAAAGGAGTAGAGTGAGGTGTGATGTCACAGCAAGAGAAGGTGGTATTTTCTTGAGGGACAAAGGACTGGTGAGTTTGTAAATGGTACCTTCATCAGAGAAGACATCAAAAGATTTGAGTGTTTCTGAAGATGCCACATTACCTTAAATGAAAGAACAACACTTTTAGTATAGTCACATGCAGACCATGCCCACCTTGGGTGCTGTATGGTCTTTTATTCCTAGAGACCTGGATAGTGAACAGCAAGTAGATCTTTTCCGTTTCCTATTTTAGCCACCAGGGGGAGCTAAGCATAGCTTTCCTTTTAAGGTCAGCCTGGCTCACATTGTTGTCTAAACCTAAAAGATGCTGGGAAGTAACAAGGGTATTGATGAAAGTGAATGGGAATTGTCGGTGATTTCTGACCTCTACACCCACCCCACCTTATTGTTTGCTATGGAAAGTCCACTTTCAGTTTAATAGAGAAAATGTCTGGAGAATGTTCAAAATATTAATAAATATTTTTGTTTGCAAACTGGGTACTGGGCACACATCTATAGTCACAGCTACTTGGAAGGCTTGAGGCAGGACTGCTTCTACCCAGGAGTTAGAGGCCTGCCTGAGCAACACAGCAGAGCTCCATCTAAACACTGTAAAAATGAAAATGTTGAGTAAATTGGGAGCATGGGGAGGGGACCATGGGAAAAGGTAGAAGGGGAGGGGAGAAAAGGGGAGGGGAGCAGAGAAAAACGTGTAGCTCAATAAAAGTAATTTTAAAAAATGAAAAAGTTTAGAGCAGGTCGAAGTAGAAACTAACTCTGTTCTCTCTGCAGCTATCCTTGGGATGCACAATCTGATCACAAACACTCAGTTCTGTGATGTGGTGGGAAGCAGTAATGGTGTCGACCAAGAACATTTTTCAAGTGAGTAGTTAACATGCCTTGAGAGTTCCAATCCTTTGTCACATGTTGTGCTTTTTCCATGTATTAACTTTGGTATTTATTATACCAGAGATCCTGTCTGTGTGTCTGTGTGTATGTCTGTGTGTGTGTCTATGTGTGTATGTGTCTGTGTGTGTGTATGTGTATTAAACTTAAAATTCAAGTTTGATAGTACTGTTACAGAAAGCCATTAAATTATAAAATGTAGTTAGGTGTAGTGAGTCGTGCCTGTAATCCCATCATTAAGAATGCTTCCTGTTCTTCTGGAGGATGGAAGTTCAGTTGCAGCCTTATACAACTCCAGCTCCATGGTATCCCATGCCCATTCCAGACCTTCACGCCACCTCCCACACACACACACAGAGATATGGGATACACACGTTACACATAAATAAAAATAAAATTTTTCAATAAAATTTTAAAAAATGGAATACTTAGTATTTTAGTCTTTTTTTTTTTTGAAGCAGAGTCTCACTGTGTAGCCTTAGCTTACCTCAAACTCAGATCTGCCTGCCTCTGCCCTCTGCCTCCTGAATGCTGGCGTGTGCCACCACACTTGGCAGTATTTTAGGCTTAATGTATTGTCAAATGCAATGGGAACTGCTTTTGTCACGTAAATACTAATGACAAGCAGTATGAAAACTAGACAGGCTTAGGGTTTTTAATTTGTCGTGGTTTTTTATGAGTGTTTTTGCATTGTGGGGATCCAATCCAGGACCTTAAGTATACTACGTGAACTCTGCCGCTGAAACAACCCCAACCCAGCCATACTTAGTTTTTGTCAACATTTTTTTAAAATATTTATTTATTATGTATACAATATTCTGTCTGCGTGTATGTCTGCAGGCCAGAAGAGAGCACCAGACCTCATTACAGATGGTTGTGAGCCACCATGTGGTTGCCAGGAATTGAACTCAGGACCTTTGGACGAGCAGGCAATGCTCCTAACCGCTGAGCCATCTCTCCAGCCCCAACATTTTATTTTTGTGTTGCTAGTTTTAAGGAATCCATGGAAATTCTGATAAAGTTCCTTCTTTAAAAAAATTATGTTTTTAAATTCTCCAGGTAAATATATGCTATTGTAGCATATTTAAATATAACATAAATATATATACTACAAACAAAGTAAACGTCTCAGAGCTAGAGAGATGACTCATCAGGAGAGTTTACTGCTCCTACAGAGGACCTCGGTTTGGTTCCCAGCAACTACAGAGTGGTTCACAACCACCTGGAACTCCGTTTTCAGCAGATCTGATGACTTTTCCAGCCTCTGTAGGATCCTGCTTGCATGTGATGCACTTATATTCAAGTAGGCACATATACATACACGTAAAGAATTTCTTTATAAAGAAAGTAAATGTCTCTATTCACAAGCATTATGTAACCTGCCCCCCCCCCAGCTGTTAACAAGGTGGTGTATAGCCTGTTTTATAATTCTGCCCTGCTTAAAGCACATACAGATGTATACATATTCTATATAAGTTGTCTTTTTAGTAAAAGTTATATGTTATTACAACTTAATTTTTAAGAATTTTAATTAATATGTTTTTATGGCTGTTTTGTCTGTGTGTATATCAGTGCATCCATGGTGGCAGGAAGTGGGTGTTGAATTCCCTAGAACTGGAAGTGTATGTGAGCCACCATGTTGATACTGGGAATCAAACCCAGGTCCTCTGGAAGAGCAGCCAGTGCTCTTAACTGCTGAGCCATCTCTTCAGTCCACAACTTAATTTTTTAATAATAGCACTGTTTCGCCAGGTGGTGGTAACATATGCCTTTAATCCCAGCACTTGGGAGGCAGAGGCAGGCGGATCTCTGTGAGTTCGAGGCCAGCCTGGTCTATAGAGCGAGTTCTAGGATAGACTCCAAGCTACAGAGAAACCCTGTCTCAAAAAACCAAAACCAAAAAACAAACAAATAAAAATAAAAAACAAAATAATCGCACTGTTTTTAGGGTTGTTTCCTTGCTTTTTTAATTCTTTCTATGGCCCTCCTCTGTGCAAACTCTCAAATGTGGATTATTCTCACTTAAGGCTCACAGCAGCCCATGGAAGAGGCATTATTGTTCTCTCTAATGCTCCCCTGCAGGGGCTGGGGGTTTTAGAGCGAGAAGAGTCTTGGTGCCACATAAAAAAGCCATGAGGGCCCCAGCCACTACAGGCAGATTTCTTTCCTTCAGGTGTTTGTTTAGCTATCCCTCTTATAATGTTCTGTGGGTTGGCTATTTCCCTTGATTTTTAACTTTTTATTTTCAGACATGTTCAAATGTGAGAGAGAAGAAAACATTATTCCTTACCTGCCGTCAGCTATTTCCTTAACATCACCAACCCTCCTCTGTCTCCCTCAACTCCTTATTAACATCAACAACCTTCCCTCTGCCTCCCTCAACTCCTCATTAACATCACCAACCTTCTTTTGCCCTCAACTCCTTCACATGTTTGCTGAAGAAAGTTCATTTGTTCTCTCTTCTTTTCTTCCTCCCTTCATTTCTTTTTTGCATTTAGAGGTCAGAGGACAGCCTTCATGAGTCTGTTTTCTCTTGTCATGTGGGTCCCTGGGATCAAAAGGTCATCTGACTGACAGCAAACACCTTTGCATGCTGGGCCATCTCATCGGCCTTTTTTTTTTTTCTGAATTATTTAAAAGTCAAACCTTTTGTTATTTTGTACATAAACATGTGTGTGTGTGTGTGTGTATAATAATGTATATCTGTTTCACAAATTTAAGACTTTTTAAAACTATAACCCAATGTCATTATTAAACACGAAATTTAATATTTACTTTATATCATCTGAAATTCAGTCTGTGTCCAAATTTCTCTGGTTTTGAAAAACATCATCTCATCCTTGCTTCAAATCAGAATCCAAGTAATGGTTACACATTATATTTGTTTGTTTTTCAATCTCTTTTTCCTTTCTTAGAAAAATAACCTGCTGCTGGGTGGTGGTGACATACACCTTTAATCCCAACAGTAGGGAGGCAGAAGTAGGTGGAACTCTGTAAGTTCAAGGCCAACCTGGTCTACAGAGCAAATTCCAGGACCAAAAAAAAAAAACCCTTCTGCCATGTTACGCATGTGTAGATCAGAGGACAACTTGTGGGAGTCAGCTCTCTCTACCTTGTGAGTCCTAGGGGTTGAGCTGAGGTTTAGGCTTGGTAGTAAACACCTTTACTTGCTGAGACATCGCATCTCACCAGCCCAGTCTCTATTTCTTAATAGTTCTTTCCTCAACTTCATCCCTCCTCCATTCTAGATTTTGTTTATTGCAGCCGAGGGTGTTATTTTATGTTTTTTCTGTCTTCCATATTTCTATAAACTGTTAAGTCTAATGGCTAGGTCAGATTCAAATGTAGGGATTTTGACTTGGTGAGTATTGTGGGGAGTTGGCAAATACTTAAACCAAATAACAATTGTGTGGTCCCTCATTTTTGAAAATTGTTAAGACTATGTGTGTTATGGTGCTATACACCCTTGATCTCAGCACTAGAGAGTCTGAAGCAAGAGGATTCCAACTTCTAGACAGCCTTGGTTACATGACAGAACTGTGTCTCAGCATGAGAGGGAGGGAAAATGGAAAGAAGAGATGAGCTGGTTCGGGAATTGGCCTGGTCCGTTCTCTTATAGTTCCCCATGAACCTTTCACATAACTGTAGCATCCCATTGAACAGATACTGTTTTAAAAGTCAAAACTTATTTTATTACTTTTTAAAAATATAACCCAACTGTAGAGTTTTTTTTTCTTTCTTTCTTTCTTTTTTTTTTTTTTTTACACTTGGGGGGGCCTGCCACTCAAATCTCAAATAAATATAGGGAGACTTATTCTTACTTATGAATGCCCAGGCTTAACTTGTCTTGTTTCAAGCCAGCTTTTTTCTAACTTTAATTATCCCATTTCTCTTTAACTATATTTTGCCTCTGGGCTTTTTACCTTTCTGTTTTTCTTTTTTCTTTTTCTTTTGGTTTTTTGAGATACAGTTTCTGTATAACAGTCCTGGCTGTCATGGAACTCACTTTTGTAGACCAGGCTGTCCTCAAACTCACTGAGATCTGCCTGCCTCTACCTCCCAAGTGCTGGGATTAAAGACGAGCTCCACCACCACCCAACTTTTTTTTTTTAAAATTTTGGTCCTTTTTATACTATATATCTTTCTTGCCTTCCTGTTCTGTGGCTGGCTATGTGGTGGGGCGGCTGCCCCTGGTGCCCTCTTCACCTTCTCCTTTTCTCGCTCCTCACTCTTTCAAGCCTGGATTTCTCTTGTTTATCTCTCTGCCTGGCAGCACTGCCTATCCCTCTACTGCCTAGGTATTGGCCATTCAGCTCTTCATTAGACCAGTCAGATATTTTATACAAAGTAACACAGCTTTACAGAGTCAAACAATGCAACATAAAAGAATGCAACACATATTTGCATCATTAAACATGTTCCACAGCATAAAAAATATAACACATCTTAAACTAATATTCCATAACACCCAATGCCATTATTAGATGCTGGACTCATACTTAGTCTGTGTTTTATAAAACTGAGAGCTCACTCAAGTTTTCATTCATTGATGAAGTACTCTGCTCACCATGATCCACTAGATGAAAGAAAACTGCCTTATTAAATTAAATTAGAAGCAAGCCTACTCTTCCCTTGTCATCTATTCAATAACATTTTATTTGGTGACATAAATAGCTACCAACATATAGGGGATCTTTTAGCAGTTGTGCAGAAGGGACTTTCAGATTGGATGTGTTGAATGTATGACCTGGGGAGTGGGGATAGATGACTAAGTAAATGTGTCTCCTCTCAGTTCCAGTCATCTCAGTCAACCCTTGCTCTTCCGTTTGTTCCTACAGATGTGGTAAAAGGGGAAAAGATTCTTCCAGTGTTTGATGAGCCACCAAATCCAACCAATGTTGAAGAGAGTTTAAAGAGAATTAAGGAAAATGATGCCCGTCTTGTTGAAGTTAATTTGAATAATATTAAAGTAAGTATGTTAAGCATGCAATATACATATATATCAGAATCAACACATGATGTTTGCTTTGGGTCAACCAAACCCAGGTCAGTAATGTGGCAATTCTGATGTGTAGTCTTAACTTCTGCTTTAAGGTGAAGTGTACTAACAGTATACGAACATAGATTCCTTCAAAGCTTATACATTCAAGTATTATAGAAAATATTTTGTTACTTACTTTTTAGAGAGTTTATCATATAAGAATATGACCCTACACATTATCCGTAATTTGCTCTAATTTTTAAAGTGCTGCCCTCTTTTGAACTTTAGCCTTTGGTTTTTATTTTAATTGGGTTTATTAAGGTATTTTAATATAGTTAAGTAAAATTCTTTTAATGTGCAGTCCCAGGATATAAAGCTATAAAATACTACTGTCAAGTTTTAAAACAAAAATTAAACACCTGACTGACTAACTGATATAAAGCCTACCTGTAATGTTGGAAGTTTGTCAGGCCCCTTTGCTATTCTCTATTCACTCTTGCCACTTAGAGCTATTCATTTTTCCTTCTCCAGCCTTGTAAATCCACCTTGCAGCATTTGAGTCTTTCTTTTGACATAATGGGTGTGAGACTCACCCATGCTGTGTAGTTTGGCATTGTTCTCTCATAGGATATGCCACGACCAGCTACTGACATATAGGTTGCTTCCAGTTTGGTTGCATGGAAAGTGGCTGCACACATTCACATGTGAGGCCTTTGAAAAATACAGGTTTTTGTTTCCTATGACCAATGCCTAGAAATTGGCTTTCTAGGATTTTTTTTTCAAATTATTATTGCTGTTTGTTTGTTTACTTGCTTTGAGATAGGGTTTCTCTCTGTAGTCCTGGCTATCCTAGAACCTGCTTTGTAGACTAAGCTATTTGTTTGCATACTTTCTGAGTATGTTTTAAAGCAAACAGTAAGTATAAATGTATTTGATTGATGGATTAAACTTCCTGATAACTGAAATGTTGATGGCATTTCACATTTTTGTCTTTCAAGAATATCCCAATTCCAACTCTAAAAGATTTTGCAAAGACTTTGGAAACCAACACACATGTGAAACATTTTAGTCTTGCGGCCACCAGGAGCAATGACCCCGTGGCTGTTGTAAGTATGCTGAGATTGATGAAGTCAATAATTCCCAACTGATGTCTGCAAACCTGCATTATAGTAAGGTTAAAGCGATCTGTTTTGTGAGACAGGATCTCTCATAGCCTAGGCTGGCCATGAATTCCATGTGTAGTGGAAGATGATCTTGAACTTCCCAGTTCTCCTACCTCTACTTTCCAAGGGCTTGGATTATAGGCCTGTACCACTGCACCCTTTTAAACTGTGACTTCTTCTCACATTTATTTATCTATTTATTTAGGTATGTGCATGTTTGTGCATGTATGTGTATACCTGTATCACAGTATGTGTGTGGAGGGCAGAGGACAGTTTGCAGGAATCTGTTCTCTCCTTATGGGTCCCAGGGATGGAATTCAAGTTGTCAGACTTTATAACCAGTGCCCTTCCCACTGAGCTATCTCATTGGCCCAAATTGCCAAATTGTGGTGTGTGTGTGTGTGTGTGTGTGTGTGTGTGTGTGTGTGTGTAAATACATACATACATACATTCATACATATATGTGTCCTTTTTTCACGTGGCATTCTACCTCACTTTTCAGCATTACATTAAATACCCTTTTATATTTTTCAATTTTTATTTATATTTATCATTTATATATATTTTTTTCCTCTTTTGGGTCGGAAAGAGGTAGATTCCCAAAATAGCAACTCACTGGATAACCTAAGCTGGCATTAAATCATGATCTTACTGCCTTGGCCTCCTCATTTCTTTAAGCGTAAAGGATGCCTAGAAATATGACTAAATGGTAAAGTACTGGCATGTTGCATGTAAGTCCCTATCTCCAATTTCCAGACCACAAAAAAGAGAAAGAATTAACTTGATTTTGATTTTTCAATTAACTAATATGTTAGTGATCTCTTTGTGTCAGCATACAGAGGTCTGATATATCCTTAACATCTGTACAGACCCACTTAGGGGTCTGTGATTTGGGGTTTAATCAAATGCTTTCTCTGGAGATAAGTATGTGGTGTTTGTCCTTTTAAAACCAATTCTGGGTGTGTGAATTGAACCAGTCTTGCATTCCTTGGGAAAATCAACATCGATTGTCCTAAGAATCTTTCCTTCACTTGACTTTGCAGCAGCCATTCCTTTTGGTTCTCCTCCAACTTCACTAGTTCCCGGTTTCCACACACGTTCTTCCTCTGAACATTGGAGTGGTCCAGGGACTTCTTTTCGCCTTCACTGCTGCCTGGGCAAGCTCATCATTCCAGTGCTGTAGGTCGTTCACACGTGCTGGTGACTCCAGTGCCACCGCCCACTTTGTACCTTTGTCCTCAACTCTGTAGCTGTAGCTGGGCGCCTGAGGGATTTCTCCTGTAGACCTGGACTGAACTCCTGACCCATCCCATGCTGCTTTTCTCAGTCTTTATCACAAGTGGCTGTGTCGGTCATTTCCCCGATAGACAGGAAACAGATGAAAAGCAATCACTCTTAACCTCCCTTTCTTTCAGTCTTAAAGCATATATTCAGTAGTCCTGTCTTCAAAATATTTTTAGAGTCCAGGATAGTTGCACTGGCTCACACAGGTAATCCTAATATTCAAGAGGCAGAGACAGGAGGATCGCAATAAGTTTGAGTCCACCCTGGTTTACATAGCAAGCTCCAGGCCATTCTGGGCCACCTGATGAGTTCTAAAGAGAGAGAGAGAGAGAGAGAGAGAGAGAGAGAGAGAGAGAGAGAGAGAGAGAGA